GGCGTGCTCCAGGCACTGCCTTGTCCTTGTGGTTTGTGGCAGGGCCTTGTCCCATTTGGGCTGGCCCTCTGCAGGGAGATGCCCCCTCCTCCATGCAAGAAAACCTCTGTGGTCTGGGAGCTCTCAAAAGGCAGGAAGTTGAATCATCAACTCCGGTAACGTCTCTGTCGTCCTGTGGGTCTGCCCGGGGAGCTCAGGGCTCCAGGCCCAGGGAGCTGGCTCTGTGCTTTGTTTGCTGCTTTCTCTGAAGAGGAAAGCTCCAGAATGAGGCTTCTAGAGAAATGAGAGCTGTTGAGTCAGATGGGGAGGAGAGCTGGATGTCAGGTTGACCAAGACTCTCACCCAGCTCTGGCCTGGTCTTGCTTTGTGGCCTTCAGTGACTCTTTGCATTTTGGCTTTGGCTTCTACCACAGAAATGCTGATTCTTGAAATCCTCTTAAATTAAGAGTATGAATGATGACCAAAGTGGGAACACCCCGGGTTCTGGACAACTCATTTCAGCTTCACTACCACAGATGCAGGTTGCTCAGACACACATCCCTGCCTCCTGCTTGCCTGGGAGAAGTACCTGACCAGCCTCCCCAGTTCTGGCTGCAGGGGTTTTAGGAAGGTGACAAGTCTGGATTTAGGGAGATGGAGGAGAGGGGCAGAAAAGGAGGTTCAGGTTAAAGATGGGTACCCACAGATAACAATGGTAAGCATACCACCTGTTGTCTATTAAGCACTCAGGATGTGCCAGCCCTTGAATGATCTCATTTGATCTTCACAATGACTAAGGATTATCATCATTTCCATTGTATAAGTATGGCAAATGAAGCCCAGAGAGAATAAGTACCTTGCTCAAGCTACATGTGTGCCCAAGCTCACACAGCTACCATGTGGTACAGTTGGCATTAACTTTAACTATGTTAGACTGTGGCTTTGAGGGCTGAGGGCTCAGGAGGCTCACAGGTAGCAGGGGAACGATGGGAGGAATGAAGGGGACAGGTAAAAGAGCCGACCTGGGCACTCTGCTGTAGACCAAATGAGCCCAGAGAAGTCTAGAGGAGGTCGAGGAAGAAAGTGTTCTTTCTTCCTGGTGCTGCATAGGGACATCCAGAGAATATTAAGAAGTCTGGGGTTCGGCCGGGCGCGGTGGCTCAAGCCTGTAACCCCAGCACTTTGGGAGGCTGAGGCGGGTGGATCACGAGGTCAAGAGATCGAGACCATCCTGGTCAACATGGTGAAACCCCATCTCTACTAAAAATACAAAAAAATTAGCTGGGCATGGTGGCACGTGCCTGTAATCCCAGCTACTCAGGAGGCTGAGGCAGGAGAATTGCCTGAACCCAGGAGGCGGAGGTTGCGGTGAGCCGAGATCGCGCCATTGCACTCCAGCCTGGGTAATGAGCGAAACTCCTCCTCAAAAAAAAAAAAAAAAAAAAAAAAAAAGAAGTCTGGGGTTTGCTGGACTTGGAGACCATATTCCAGAACCAGGGATCATGAGGACACAAACCCCAGACTGAACCCTGAACCCCTTGAGACCATTTGGAGAATCTGTCGAGGGCTTGAGGAGGAAATTGGATACATAGCAGGATTTTGCTACAGAGCAGAACTGAGCATGTACCCTCTGAGCAAAGACAGCCCTGCTCCAAGGATGCCCCTGGGTGTCTTTGTACACCCCTCCCCAACCCAGCATGGGTGCCATGCTCAAGGTTCAGACAGGGGACCACAAGCCCCATGCTGCACCAAAGCATAGTGTCCCTCTTCCCCTTTGAGGGAGGGGACAATGGGAGCTTGGCAGAGTTTGACCACCCTTAGCAGAGGACCACACCTATAAAGGGCCAATAGGGCCACTGATGGGCTGTGTTCCTGAAGTGGGGTCAACCTCCAACTTGCTGTCCTCAGTAACACAGCTGGTAGACATCTCTGAGGAAAGAGGTCAACCTAGCTGCCCCGATCAACTGACTGGACCCCTAATGGGCTCAGGTCAGGTTTAAAGACGCCTTCTCTCCTATTAGCATCAGGTTCAAAGCCAGACTTAGCCAAACCCTAGACATTCCTTACCCTCTCTGGGGAACTATTAAATTCTCCATAAAGCCCTTAATTTAAAAAGCATTTTGTGCCAGGCATGGTTAGTGGCTCATGCCTCTAATCTGCCAAAGTGGGTGAATCACCTGAGGTCAGGAGTTCAAGAACAGCCTGGCCAACATGGTGAAACTCTGTCTCTACTAAAAATACCAAAAAAAAAAATAATAATAATAAAAATAAAAATTAGCTAGGCATGGTGGCGAGCACCTGTAATCCCAGCTACTCGAGAGGCTGAGGCAGGAGAATTGCTTGACCCCTAGAGGCAGAGGTTGCAGTAAGCTGATATTGTGCCACTGCACTCCTGCCTGGGTGACAGAGTGAAACTTGGTGTCAAAAAAAAAAAAAAGGCCTCTTGTTCTGTCTGCCATGTGGGCCCTGACCAGAATTAGTGCTGTGGGCTCCAGGTTTTATTATCCAGAGGACCTGCTAGGGCCAGGCCTGCACTGATGTTTTCAGGTGGAGGAGGGGCCTGGAAGCTAGGGGAGGCTTGAGGCTAGGCCCTCACTGGGTCTGCACTGGGCAGCCAGGCCCAGGAGCCAAATCATGCTCTCAGACATTTGGCTTCCATTATCTGAACTATTTGGGGTAGCCCCAAGCTAGACTTGATTACTGAAAACCTGAAATAGTTCCTTATCAGACAGGGCTAACTCACCCTCCCAGATGAGTCTTGTTGGGACCTCAGGGTCTGGCACTGAGCACACTTGCTCATCCTATCCTCCAGTCCCTTTGGCAGGAAAGTAGGAGCACCTCAGCACTTCTGCCCAGAGCCTCTGCACAGACTCCAGGGGCACCTGTGGGGCTGAGGACAAGTGGCAGCCCAGTGCCTCTGGCTGGGACTGACCCAGCCCTCTTCCCTGCCCCGGCTCCTCCCCATGGAAGAAAGAGCAGAACAGGACTGGCTAGTTGAGGACACCGGGGACTGGGCCTGCCTGAGAGTGACAGTTCTGGGCCTCTCCCTGCTCCCTGTGAGTGCCAGCCTGGGTGTGGGGCCCAGGAGGCTCCAGTGCTTCCCCAGTCCAAAGGTCACTAACAGCCCAGCAGCTGGGAGTGTGTGGAGGGGGCGGTTCTCCAGCCAAGGAGGTGCAGGACTAAAGCGAGTGTGGGGAGAGAGGAAGAGGCTGAGCTTCTGGGACCTAAGAGCCACCCCTGGGCAGGGCGGGGCCATTGGGGCTGCCTTAGATTCCCCCACCTCTCAGCCTGCAGCCTCAGGGCTAAGCTCTGCAGAGGAGACCTATCTCCTTCAGCCCCCTCCTGCCTTTAGGGTACAAGTCTCCTGAAGGACTTGAGTGAGATGTCAGCAAGCCACAGGCTGTCAGGCTCTTGGCAGTAAGTCCTGGCCCAGCGACTGGAGACTCACCGCAGAGTCCCTCCTTGGGGCATCTGTCCTTATCAGGGGTGGATGCTGTCAGACTTGCTAATGATGGAATTTCTGGCATGTGGCCGGTGGGCAAAGGAGACCCTTAGGCCAGGGAGCCATTTGCAATTCCCTCACATGGCTCCAGCTGTGGCTCATGCTCCATTGCAGCCACGGTCACTGGGAGGCCAAGTGGACTCCATGGGGCTCCAAATGGTGGGAGGGAAGTCCTGGGAGACACAGTGTGGCCCAGATGCCCCTGGCATGGGGGCATCCATGCACAGGTGAGAAACTTGGGCAGGGAGGGTGAAGAGGAAATTTGGAAATGGCTGAGAGGCTGGACTCAAGGTCTCCTGGACTCGAACTGAGTTCAAGTGATCACCCACTTCAGCCTCCCAAAGTGCTGGGATTACAGGTGTGAGACATGGCGCCCAGCTGGACTCTCGGTCTCCTGTTCCCTGATCCTGGGCTTGGCATGGAGCAGGGAGGAGGCTGAAGGGAACAGGTACAAAGATGCCCACCTAGGCACTGTGTTGTAGATTAAATGAGCCCTTGGACTGAAAGTCTCAGAAATCAGAGAAAGAGGCCGGGTCTGGTGACTTGCACCTGTAATCCTAGCACTTTGGGAGGCTGAGGTGGGAGGATCGCTTACACCCAGGAGGTCGTGGCTGCAATGAGCCATGATCATGCCAATGCACTCCAGCCTGAGTGACAGAAATAGACCAAAGGACTGGCACTTCCAAGTCAGAGAGAGCTCCCTGAAGAGATGGGCCTGGTAACTGCAAAAGAAAGCAGTTGAGACAGACAAGGGGACTGTGGGAGCAAGAGTCTGAAGGTGTGAGCAGGAGGGCAGGTGTGAGGACTGGTGAATCACCGGGGAAATGTGTAGAATGGCTGTGGTGATGAGGTGGCAAGTGGTGGAGAGCTCTGCCCTGAGCTCCATGCCCTTCCAAGCCTTTGCCCATGATTATGGTTGAATTGTGGCTTCATGCCACATACACAAAGATATACACTAAAATCCTGACCTCTTTTACCTGTAAACGTGACCGTATTTGGAAACAGGGTCTTTGCAGATTTAATAGTGTTAAAATAAGGTCATCAGAGTGGGCCCTACCGTGATTTGATTGCTGTCCTTATAAGAAGAGGGAAAGTTGTTGCTGGGCGCGTGGCTCATGCCTGTAATTCCAGCACTTTGGGAGGCTGAGGCATGCGGATCACCTGAGGTTGGAAGTTCTAGACCAGCCTGACCAACATGGAGAAACCCCGTCTCTACTAAAAATACAAAATTAGTGATGGTACATGCCTGTAATCCCAGCCACTCGGAAGGCTGAAGATGAAGAATCATTTGAACCTGGGAGGCAGAGTTTGCAGTGAGCTGAGATTGCACCATTGCACTCCAGTCTGGGCAACAAGAGCAAAACTCCGTCTCAAAAACAAACAAAAAAAGAAATCTCCTTTAGCTGCCATCTTGCGCCCCCGAGTGTGTGCGCCTAATCTCAGTTGGTCCACCTGAGACCCGCCCCCCGCCGAGCACCAACGCTAGTCCACCTCGCGGCCTCTTATCGGCTCCAACAAGATGAAAGAAACAATCATGAACCAGGAAAACCTCGCCGAACTGCAGGCACAAGTGCGCATTGGTGGGAAAGGAACTGCTCGCAGAAAGAAGGTGATTCATAGAACAGCCGCAGCTGATGATAAAAAACTTCAGTTCTCCTTAAAGAAGTTAGGGGTAAACAGTATCTCTGGTACTGAGGAGGTGAATATGTTTACAAACCAAGGAACAGTGATCCACTTTCACAACCCTAAAGTTCAGGCATATCTGGCAGCAAACACGTTCACCATTATTACAGGCCATGCTGAGACAAAGCAGAAGACAGAAATGCTACCCAGCATCCTAAACCAGCTTGGGGCAGACAGTCTGACTAGTTTAAGGAGACTGGCTGAAGCTCGGCCCAAACAAACTGTGGATGGAAAAGCACCACGTGCTACTGGAGAGGAGGAGGAGGATGAAGTTCCAGATCTTGTGGAGAATTTTGATAAGGCTTCCAAGAATGAGGCAAACTGAATTGAGTCAACTTCTGCAGGTAAAACTTGAAGAAGTTACTGCGAGTTGCTATTTTATATTATGACTGCTTTTTAAGAAATTTTTGTTTATGGATCTGGTAAAATCTAGATCTCTGATATTATTAACCCCAAGCCCCTTGGACACTGCAGCTCTTTTTAGTTTTTTGCTTATACACAATTCATTCTTTGCAGCTAATTAAGCTGAAGAAGCCTGGGAATCAAGTTTGAAACCAAGGTTAATAAAGTTCTTTGCCTAGTTAAAAAAAAAAAAAAAGGCGCGGTGGCTCACGCCTGTAATCCCAGCACTTTGGGAGGCCGGGGCGGGTGGATCACGAGGTCAAGAGATCGAGACCATCTTGGTCAGCAAGGTGAAACCCCGTCTCTACTAAAAATACAAAAATTAGCCGGGCATGGTGGTGCACGCCTGTAGTCCCAGCTACTCAGGAGGCTGAGGCAGGAAAATTGCTTGAACCCAGGAGGCGGAGGTTGCGGTGAGCCGAGATCGCGCCATTGCACTCCAGCCTGGGTAACAAGAGTGAAACTCTGTCTCAAAAAGAAAAAAAAAAAAAAAAAAAGGAGAAGAAGAAGAAGAGAAAAAGTTGTTGAGATGACAGATACCACAATTATCCTGATTTGGTGTTATACATTGTATACATGTGTCCACATATCACCTGTACCCCAAAAATAGGTACAACTATTATGTAGCAATAAAACATTTTTATTTTTTAAAAAAGAGGACAAAGTACAGTGGCTCACACCTATAATTCCAGCACTCTGGGAGGCTGAGGCACGAGGATAGCTTAAGCCAGGCGTTCAAGACCAGGCTGGGCAACATAGTGAGACCTCATCTCTACAAAAACATTTAAAAACATTAGCTGGGCATGGTGCCTGTGCCTGTAGTCCCAGCTCCTTGAAAGACTGGGCAACTTGAGCCCAGAAGGGCAAGGCTGCAGTGAGCCATGATCATTCCAGCACACTCGAGCCTGGACCACAGAGCAAGACCCTATAGGGAAGATGAGCAGGTGAAAATGAAGGCAGAGACCGGAGTTATGCAGAGTTAGTTATTCCAGCTACCAGAAGCTGGTAGAGGCAAGGCAGGATCCTCCCTTGAAGGCCTTGGAGGGAGCGTGGCCTTAGCCACAGTTCTGTTTGGAACTTCTATTCTCTGCAACAGTGGGAATAAGTGTCTGCTCTGTAAGCCCCCCTGCCTGTGGCACTTTGTTACAGCAGCCCCAGAAACCTGACCCAGCCAGCCTGCTCCTGCTGCCCAGCATGCCCTTCCTTCACCCCTCCAGCTGGTTTCTTACTGCCTTCAAGCCCCATCACCTGCTCGAGGCCCTCTTCTGTGTGCCCCCAATTCTGGACACTTTTCAGTAGACCTGTAAGGTTTGCTGGCCAGCCTGTCTCCCTGGCTAGACTACAGGCTCCTTCAGGGCAGGCCTGACCTGTGCTAGGGCAGCATGATACCTGATGTGGGGTGAATAAAGGAATGCTGGAAGGGCAGTGGGCCCCTATGAGACTGGGATATGCCATCTACTCCTTCAAAGCCTGGCTGAGGTCGGGCTAGGGACATGGCAGTGCTCAGAGAGGTCACAGCATCGTCCACACAGGCCATTCCCAGCTCCGCCACTCTCTAGCTCCCTCTTGGTGCCATGTGAGTCTGAGGAACTTGGGGAAATTCCTAACCTTCCCTTTCAATTGAGCCATTGGCCCTTGGAGTTAACCACAACATAATTGCTCAGGTCCCTCCAACAAGGGGACTGTGTCTGTGGCTTGATGAGTCATGCACACCACTCCATCCCACAACCTTGGGCAGGACTTGGGGCTGGGGACAGTGCCAGCCAGTACAGGCAAGGAGCTTGGACATCCCGTTACCCCACCCGAGTCCCCAGGAACAGAGTGTACCCAAGGCTTCAGGACAAAAATCTGGAAGCAAGGAGACGAACTGAGATCGGAGTGATGAAAAGCAGCCGACAGAGAAAACAGCGAGTACAAAGGCCCTGAGGCAGGAACGAGCTTGGCATGATCGAGAACTGAAAAGAGCAAAGGGGAGGCTGCAGCACAGTGGAAGAGAGGTCAGTGATAGGACATGCGATTAGACTGGGCCCACTGGACAATCCAGGATAATCCCTCCCTCTCAAGGCCCTTAATTTAATCATAGCTGCAAAGTGCCTTCTGCCATGTCAGGGAACGTATTCACAGGCTCTGGGAGTGCAGCATAGACATCTTCAGGGATGGGCATCACTGTGCCTACCGCAGTAGCGCTCTCACCCTCTTGTCTGTCTCTCTTGCTCTATTGCTACATTTCTATTTACCTATCTACCTACTTATTTGAAGCTGACCATGGATCTATTGACCACAATTTCTCTCTTTTCCTCCCCCTTTATCAAGTTTCAATACGTTATTTATCAATCTATCATTTTTCTGTGGCTTTGATCTTTTACTGTGATAACAGCATCACCCCTCAGCCATCTATCTAATAAACTAAACTTTAAACTCAGTCTATCATTTAGTTGTCCACTGTCCATGATGAATTATCAATTTAGCTCCACTTTGCACATGTGTTACATATATGAACATTTTTTCTCAATGTCTGTTGAGAGGATCAATAGATGTAAGTCCAATAAATATGCACTGAGTGCTGGCCATGTGCCCATTGCTATGTCATGTGTGTGTGAAATAAGGGCCTTTTGACACCCCCAGTAGCCATAGAGGGTCCTTTTTCATCTGATCATCATCCCCATCAATGCTATGATTGCCAATCCCTGCACACTGTCCAATTTTGTCATCCACACTGGAACATTTTTTTTATTCTTGAGATGGGGTCTTGCTCTGTCATGCAGGCTGGAGTGCAGTGGTGTGATTATTGCTCACTGCAGCGTCAACCTCCCAGGCTCAAGTGATCCTCCCACCTCAGCCTCCAGAGTACCTGGGATTATAAGTGAGTGCCACCATGCCCAGCTAATTTGTTTTTGTTTGTTTGTTTGTTTGTTTTTTGAGACAGAGTCTTGCTCTCATTTCCCAGACTGAAGTGTAGTGACACGATCTCGGCTCACTGCAATTTCAGCCTCTCAGGTTCAAGCCATTCTCCAGCCTCAGCTTCCTGAGTAGCTGGGATTACAGGCATGCACCACCACACTCGGCTACTTTTGCATTTTTAGTAACGACGGGGTTTCTCCATGTTGGTCAGCCTGGTCTGGAACTCCAGATCTCAGGTGATCTGTTTGCCCCGGCCTCCCAAAATGCTGGGATTACAGGCGTGAACCACCGCGCCCAGCCTAATTTTTGTATTTTTTAAGATATAGAGTCTCACTATGTTGCCCAGGTTGGTCTCAAACACCTAGACTCAAGCTAACCTCCTGCCTTGGCCTCCCAAAATGTTAGGATTACAGGCATGAGCCACTGGTCCTGGCCAGGGACCATTTTTATATAAACTTTCTAGTGAAATCCCAGCTGCTCTAGTCTGCCTTTTGCCTACTAGCCTCCTTGAGTATGCATAAATAATGCAGACTCATTTTAACTTGATGTTGATCTTACATAAAGTGTGGGTGGAAAAGTATATCTGCTGGGCAAGCATCTTGTGCATCAAATAACAAATCTTAAAGCTAAACGGAAATTATTTTTAGGTTGTCTGGGCAAATAGCACAGAAGGTGGGGGACTCCGGAGATATGACCTCAGATGTGACACATGCAGACACATGACACACCACACAAACACACACGCATGTGGGTATGCACAAATGCACCTTCTCTCTTCCTTCTGCCCCCACACTAGCAGCTCCTTCCTGGCTTCCTCCGCCCCTCACTCACACAAAGGGCCAAAGCAAACACTTCAGCACTGAGTCATGTCCTACCTCATCGTGTTTCCAGCTTAGGAATCTCACCTCCCCACCTGGGCTGTGAGGTCTTCTGGGGCAAAGATGGTGTCTGCTTCTCCTTAGGTATGCCCTTCTAGCCTGGCCAGCCAGAGGACTGGACTCCTAGGAGCTGACTGCCCTTTCTTGAGCTCCGAGGGAGGGCAGTTGAGGATCAGGGAGGCAAGGGAGCTAGATGCCCATTGGTAGATGCTCTCCAGGGCAGCCCCTACAACCCAACACAGTCCCCTTTGCCCCCCAGGAGTCTGCGTCTCCTGGCCAACCAAGATAGCAGGTAACGTAGGTTTCCTCTTTCTGTAGCACTCTCCTAGAGGAGCTGCGTTAGGTAGATAATCTGCCTAGAGCTGGCCTAGCTACCTAGAGCTCACCTCGTTTAACTCAACAAGAATTCTCATTTCCAAGCATCTCCCTTACACGGGCATCCAGTGCCAATTTGTGTTCAAGCCTCTCCCCAGTGCCGGGGATGGAGATCCAGCACATTTGGAGGCAGCTCACTGTGAGCCAGAGCCACAGGTCCCAGCCTATCCGGGAGTCACAGTGCCCAGAGCCACCCCAGCCTCACAAGTCACTGTGCCCAAGGCCCTGAGGGAGGAACAACTTGCTCACTAGTGCCTGAAGAAGACTCCCTCCCGATGGAGCCACCTTGTACCCTGGAGACATTCCGAGCAGTGGGAGGCTGATCAAGGCCAGGACACCATCAATGAAACCTTGACTGGGGTGAGGCGTCCCAGGGCCAGGTGGCCTTGCTGTTTCTTGCCCCACACTGAGCCCTGATCTGTCCACATACACTGGTTAGAATCCAGTGTCTGCCCCCTCCCATCATGTGGTATGCTCAGGGCAGGAACCGCATGTGTAACACATCTCTGTAGCCTGAAGCCAGCCCAGCGCTTGGCCAAAAGCTACTGTGTGTGGAGCACAGACCTGCCTTTGAGCACCGCCTGCACCAGCTTCCCTGCAGGCCTAGAGCCCAAGCCCTGGTCTCAGGCAGCCTCCACTTCCCTTGAGGCCAGCCCAGAGCCCCAACTCAGTGAGTTCTCACGAACTGTGTAGAGTCCACCAGGTAATGAATTGTGTCCCCTCTGCTGTCTCAGGAGCCAGGCCGGGCCAGGTATTCTCAGACTGAATT